CCCCCCCCCCCCCCCCCCCCCCGCAGCCCTTCCTCCTTGCCCCCCTCGGCTGGCAGGCCAACCTCCCGCGGTCCCTCCCCCTGGCCGGCCAGACCCCCGATCGCCTGCCAGACTGAGGGACCCCACCCGTGCACAAATTCATGCACCGGGCCTCTAGTATATATAGAATTTGAAAACTGATAAAAAACTAACTACAACTCAGTCTTTTCATCACTATGCACCAACAATTCTAAATAATTTCAGGGTTAAAAATATTCATTCCCACTAGGATTTACCACTCCCGCCTCCTTGCCACTGAGCTATTTCAACATAAACCTTACAGATGGAAAAATAGTCTGAAACATACCTGCAGTAAAATAGTCAAAGTGGATGAGAATTGTTACTTTGGTGTGCTGTTACTCTCCACAAGGAAGAAAAGTGTCTGCCCTTAGTGTATGAGCCCCCAATGATTTATAGCTACTAGTCCATATAGAAATCAGTAATTAATTTTTACATTTTGCAACTTATAGCCTGTAGTTACTGTATCTGTCAGTAATTGTCACAGTGCTTCATAAGAAATCATCCCAAAACTTAGACAAATCTAAACCTTATTTCTCACTCACATATGGGATCAAGGCAGAGTCTGGGCTTGGTTCCAAAATGTTTCTTTGGGTGCACATCTCCATTTGTTTCTCCTTCTCCTTGGACCAGTAGCTTCCTGAGAATATTCTTTTGGCAAAAGGCAGGAGCACAAGAGAGTAAGCCCAGCTACACATATTGAGCCTTAGATATGTCATATCTGCTTACCTACTGTTATTAAAGCAAGACACATAACTAAGCTCAAAGTTATGGGGCAGGGATAGACACCTTGCCTACAATGAGGCTATGTCAAGGGTGTGGGTATCTAATATTATTACAGAGGAGTAAAGAATTGAGACCAGTAATTCAATCTGTCACATATATCAGACTTTATAAGGCTTATAAACAGGATGTACTTTATTGGATGCTTTACTAAGTTGGATTTATTTAATGGCCAAGGAGTGCTTAAATATTTTGCTAGGCTAAAAGTTTTTCAGGCATACTTTATAGCATGGAATTTCTGGTTGGTTGTCTTGTATTGAGAATGCACCCAAAATGCTTTCCAAGGAAAATCTTGGCTCTATTGACAAGTACTCCCTCAGCTTCCAGCTGGAGTGACATGCAATCTGAGGATTGTGTCATTACTAAGCTCAGTTTTCAGTAAAGGAAGCGAGTCCTACCTTACTTAGCTCAACAGGTTTTTATAAGCATGTGGTTCTTCATTTGACTTACAGTTTAAAATAGCTTCACTCAGGTACTTGGCAAGAGGCGTATTCTTGAATACACTTAAGTTCAACACCTTCCAAATTCCTGGCCAAGAGAAAAAGGTTTCCAAGTATCAGAAGGAATCTGTTGAGTGAAAAAAGCTACAAAAGAGCCTACAGTATGATATTTTTTTACAGAAGGTTTAGTAGTAAGCAAGACTAATTATATCTTGAGATATCAATCCAGACTTGGTAAAACTGAAAAATAAGAAAGTGAAAAAAAATTTTTTAGACTGGTGGTTCCTTCCCGAAAGAGGAGGGGTTATAGTCATAAAAGGATGCACGAATGTTCTTTCTTGAGCTAGGTGGTTTGCATATGGATGCTTAATTATTAAACTTTATAATGCAGCCATTCATATGCATATTTAATTAAAAATTAAACCTTACAAAGGAGCAAAATAGATTAGGTAAATAAAATGAAAAATAACAAGGACCAATACATAGTTAAATATATATACCCTATCAAGAGACCCAGTTAATAAATAATGGGACTTGAAATACCCATTATACTATGTAAATGTGTTTGTGTATTTTAATTCTGAATACTTAACCTAATTATGCCATTAC